CTGCCCTGAGAGCGGCCCCCTTTCACGGGGGATGGCCCCTGAGGGCAAGTCACATTGGCCAGGCTCTCGGCTGCCACGCTCTTGTGATTAGGGAGCATTTTGAAGTAATTAGAACGTGGTGGTGGGCGCCAGGACTTCTGCTGGGCCGCTGAGAGGCCCGCGGTTGGGTCCTTGGACCGCGTCAGTCCTTCCCTGTGTCGACGGAAGAAACGTGCAGACCTACAGAGAATTTTATCAGTTTGTTGGAGCCGAACTGGTGGAAGGAGCCGCAGGTAAGCAACACCTCAACAGGCCAAGGACAGGCGCCCGAGACGGCAGCTTCATACCTCACTGTGCACGTCAGAATCGGAGGAGGAGGAGAGATAAGGAGGTTACTTGAAGTCTGTCGATGGTGGATTAGGGAGGTGGGAGAAAGCGAAAGGGACAGACACTTAACTTCTTTTACATCGGTGGGCGTAGGACAGTGAACAGTGAACACAATGCCAACCACAGGGAGGGGTCTCGTCGTCTTCGCTCTGATGCAGAGACTGTGCGCTGAAGTATCTGGAAAAAGGGAACCCCCTGACATTCCCAAGGTGTGTTGTCCTGGATGCAACATACTGACAGTCCCCAGGAAGGTAAAGATTGGCCTTTGTCGGGGAAGAGAGCGGCCTAGCCCGGGACTACCCACCACGACTCACTGCTAGTTAGAAAGTTGTGATTTCCGACCATCCCATGTGGGCACTTTCGGTCTCTGGGTTTGTCAGGCCACCAAGAGCCCTCCCCTGCGCTGGTCCGGTTTAGCAGGTGGCCGCTGCTCCGTCCATACGCGACAGGCTGCAGTGGGGGGGCTGAGGGGGACATGAGCAGGGGGGACTCACCACCTCTTATCTCCACCCACCGTCCTGGAAGGACTGCTCGGAGGGTCAGAGCCCCAGACGCCTCCCAGATGCTCCTGGGCCAGCCTCTGCCCCCAAATCATACACTGAAGCCCTAGCCTCCCGACCCCCGCACCGTGCGTGGCCTTGTTTGGAGATAGGGTCCTCACAGAGGTCACGAGGGTGAATCCCCAGTGCCACACGGCTGGTGTCCTTGTAGGAAGAGGGAGTGTGGACGGAGGCAGGCGGGCACGTGGGAAGGTGACTGGGACAGACTCAGGGAGAAGACAGCTGTCCGGGAGCCAGGGAGGAACATCGGGAGTGGGGGCCTCCCCACAGCCCTCGGAAGGAATGAGCACTAGGCACCCCTGATTCTTTGTCACTTCCCACCCCCCCAGGTATGAGAGGGTGGGTTTCTGTGGTTTAGGCTGCCCCGATGGTGTCCTGTGTCACAGGAGGCCACCGCCGCCTCTCAGGGACCATCCCCACGGCCGGCTGCCCACTGTACTTCCCTCGCTGTTCTTCACACACACACACACACACACACACACACACACACACACACACACACAGACAGAGGTAAATAGTCATAATGATGATGATGCTAATGGTAATAACAAAAGGCGAAAAGGAAGGACAGTGATGAGCACTAGGAAGAAGGCAGTCAGACTTCAGCTGAGCCTTATTTCAAGTAGGGGGAAGCCTCAAAAATCTAAATTCAGCATTGACTCCAAAGAATTGACACAGAGCTATAATATTCAAGTACAGCTGCTCCCACGGGTGGTGGCCTGGGAAGGATCCACCCCCTCCCATGATGGGGGGCCCCTTTACATAGGGGGTTCATAGTAAAACCACCTGGTGGGTCGTCAGGTGGACCACCAGGAAGCACAATGCATGTTCCTAGGTTTAACAGATAACATCAGGCAGTTATCACACTGTATACAGTCACTGACCTCCTTCCTGGGGCTTAACGTTTATGTTTATCTCGTGGGTGGCATTCCGGTTTTCTGGGTAGTCAGCCAGGCCCGAGGCCACGGAGAGTTAGTTAGAGAGTCCCAGGAGGTTAAACAGAGAGCCCCCCCCCCAGATGCTTCTGCTGCAACTTTAAGTAAGTTCTCCCCCACAAAACAAAGCGGCAGGTGAGATCCAGGGCATCCCACCTTCCTGGCCCCCCGAATCAAAGCCTTTATGAAAGCAGTGTTGAATTATTTGAATCTGAATAATACATGTTGCAAAAACCAAAAGGATAATACAAGTTTCAGATTCCCAAGGAATTGTCCTGTCTGCCTGGGAGATCCAACTACTGCTACTTTATTTCTATCCCTGCATCAAAAAAAAGGTTTTTTTTTACCCACCCGATTCACAAGGAAGCAGCTTCTCCCCCTCACAGGCGGATGCTAATGAACTCTCTGCCCCGCCAGCCGGTGTTTGCGAGAGCGTTCTCAGTCTTTGACAGGTAGGAAATTTGCATTTCCATTAGTGAGGCCTTTGTCAATTGTGAGTCGTAAAAGCCCCAGAAGAATAGGGCTGGGGAGACGCATTGTGCTTTAAAAAGGAGACTTTATTCTGAGGTTTAACCAAAGGTACCAAAGCAGATAAAGGCAGCTGAAGGGCTGGGGGCTGCTGAGCACCCCCACTTACCACCCGGAGAAACTCGTTAATGCAGGGGGCTGTCGTGGACAAGCAGAGGCAAGGCACGCCTGAAAGTGACTTCACCAGTTTGCAACTGACTGTGTTTAGCATTAAAATGATTGGCTCTTGAGGGTGACAAGGGGCATTTGATGCTGCCAGCCCTGGGCCAGGGCCGTGCCAGTGTCTTGGAGGGCTCCGTGGGCTGTGGCTACCACCTGATTGTTTAAACTTGCTCCTGAGCTCCAGCAGGGCTGGGGGTGTGACTGGTGTACTGGATTTGTTTTGTTTTACTCTTGCTGTTGGTGAAGTCACAAGGCCAGAGAGACTTAAAATGTTTTGTTTTACTCTTGCTGTTGGTGAAGTCACGAGGTCAGAGAGACTTAAAAAAAGCTCCAGAACCCCCAGCAGCGGGAAGAAGGTGCAACACGCTACTTCATTTGTTGGCGTATTTGCCCTTCAAACTGGGTCCCAGACACTGGCCAGGGCAGGCAGGGGATAGAGAGCTCTGCCCAGTCCCCAGAGGCTCCCGAGGCAGAGAGCGAAGGTGCCTAGTTTTAGAGACAAAAGGAGTGAAGGAGCAGAGGCAGAGCAGAGCGACCAGCAGAGGTGCACCATTACCACCGGCGAGCAGGGTCTGGAGCCCACGTCTCTCTCGTTCCCAGATCACGCTGCTCCTCCTGGACACGCCCCTCTTTCATGGACGTCTGCTGAGTGACCGCCCTGTGCCGGGCATGGAGGACAGAGAGGAAATGCGAAGGGACCAGACCCCGCTCTCACGGGAGGGCTGTCCATCTCTGGGAGACAGACAGCGGAGGAGAAAGCCAGGGGACACACCGCAGTGTCGTGAGTGGTATGTGTGCTGCCAAGAGAACAAGAGGATCATGGGAGCAGGGACCAGTGCAGAGCAAGGGATGAAGAGAAGGTTCTCGGGGAGGGGGGCAGAGGACTGCGTGATGGAGGGGACATCCCAGGCAGTGGACACAGACAGTACTGCCAGCTCCCCAAGGCCCGTGGAGCGTGGTGCTCCTGCAGCCGGAGCCCCGAGGGCAAGTGGGGCGACCTGGGCCAGAGAAGAGAGCGGAGGCCAGAGCCTGGGGCCCCAGGGGAGTTCAGTTTTATTCGGTGGTGCTGGGAAACCAGGGCGGGATTTCCTGCGAGACGCAGCAGGAGGAATGGGTCCCAGAGGAGCTGAGTCGAGAGATCATAGCGATGCAGTGGCACCCGGGCTGCTGGGCTCTGGCAGAGGCCGCTCCATGCCACTCCTCTTCCTTGTCTGAGTGCAGAACTGTTGGAGAATAAACAGCGGGGCTGTTACCGGTAGACGGTCAGTCCGGAGCACCGGAGGTCTCCCACGGTTGGGACGGTGGAAGGGGAGGGTCTTGCACTGAGCCTGTGAGAACCTGGCAAGGTGACTGGATAGAGAAGGAAGCCCTCCCCGCTTGCCAGATTGGGGGGGTGGGACCAAGGGAAAGCAGGCGTATTTGCCCCTCTAGCCTGGGGAAGGAAGGGATTGGTTGGAAGGTGGGCTTGTTGCATCCAGCAAACGCGAGAACAAATACCGGAGACTTACAGGGTATCAAAGATGTTGCTTTATTGGCCAAGTTTAACCTGCGCAGGGGCGAACTCTCAAAGTGTCCGGAGACACAGTACCCACAAGGGCTGCAGACGAGAGTCGCGCCGAGCGCTTACAGCTAAGTCCTTATATAGGGGTTTTGGCGCGAGCAAGCAAGCAAGCGTTTCACAGAAGCTGATGTGGCAGTTAGCTATTTGCTTATAGAGCCCGCACGCGGGAACAGGGTGAAATTCAAATTTTTAAAACTAAACAAAGCATTGCTTATCTAGCATACCCAGGGGAGAACATCTGTATGACACAGGATGTTTGCTCAACTACATCCTGCACTCTGTCTCCCTTGTTAGTTTCTTTTAGCTACAATGCGGTTTTGTTTACTAAGGTCACATTTAGTTCTTAATTTTCTTATTCCCAACAGACTCATCGGCAGAGCATGAAAGTTTGGGAGCACCTGGTCCATCCCACACCCAAGGTAATGTCATCCCAGGGGACAAAGACGCTCTTTGGCTTGTGGCTTGCTGTGGCTCGCTTGCCCAAGACCTGGACTCGTGGGGTGCACCGGCCTCTTCTCTCCACGGGTCACCTGGCCTGGCCAGCCTCATGGCCCATGGTCTCCAGAAGGGAGCCTCTGGCTCTCTGGACCACCTGGTGATGCACTGGCAGGTGAGTTGGCACGCTCTCTTGCGGCCCCAGCAGCCGCGTGGCCCGTGGCTGTGCAGGCCCCACACACAGCCTCCAGGAGGGACCCTGATGTGGACAGCAGCCAGGAACAAACTTGGGTGGGGACTGTGACTGCTTAGCAGCCGCCTGCTGGCTCCCAAGGACTGTGCTTTAATTTTTTTTAAGTATTTTTTAAAGATTTTATTTATTTATTTTTAGAGAGGGAAGGGAAGGAGAAAGAGAGAGAGAGAGAAACATCACATTTGCGGTTGCTGGGGGCCGTGGCCTGCAACCCAGGCATGTGCCCTGACTGGGAATCAAACCTGTGACACTTTGGTTCGCAGCCCGCGCTCAATCCACTGAGCTACGCCAGCCAGGGCAGGACTGTGCTTTACATGGGAGCAGGAACTCAGGGCACTGGCCTTGGTCTTGGTCTTGCTGAGAAGAGGGGCTTTGAGACAGGAGTCCACCATTCTCCCAGATCACGCGGCACCTGAAGAAAACCCCCCTTTCCTTTTGCACCAGCATCTGCCTCCCAAGTCTGGCTTTTGTGGCAACAGGCAGCTAAACCTATTTTGTTTTGTTTTTCAGTTACAGAGTGGCAGATGGGGGCTACGCCATCACCCTTACTGTTGGTAAAGGTGGGTAGGTGTCAGAGCCCAAGAGCAGTCTACTTCGGCCCCCACAGTCATCAGTCTCCTGCCCCCAGGAGAGGAAGAGCTGGCCGATGTTTGGGGCTCGGCAGACAGAGGAGGAAGGAAGAAGCAGAGCTGAGCAGGCTGGCCCACGTTTCCCAGATTAGCCATCAGCTAGTGTTGCAGCTGATGCTGCGGCTGAGGGAGTCCGGGTGGGGTCGGGCCAGCAGCCTGCCCAGCCTGCTCAGCAATCCCCATTGTCAGGAGAGGCACCATGCCCAGGCCAGGCAAGGGTGGCCCAGTGCCAGGCGCTGGCCGTGAAGATGGAGAGCATCTCAAGAGAACATCTGATGACCTGTGGACTCAAAAAAAAAAAATGTGCTTCCCACCACCGTGCTTTGGGTAGCCCACCAGCTTCGACGTGCCCGGGAGACGGGTCCCAGTGAGCACACCGGCCGTCTGCAGAACCCCCCCCGCCGGCACACACCTACCTCCTGGGGCAGGAACTGAAGCTCGTCCCCACCTCTCCGTCCTCCGGCCGCCTTGTCCTAGCTTCTCGTGCACAGGCAACTTACCTTTCTCTTTCACAAGTTTAATAACTTCAGCTCCTCGGTAACCTTCACTCGTTTCTGCTTGTGCTTGGCTGCAGGTTCACATTCTTGCTCTTAAAATTCAGAGAGCAGAGCGCAGTGTGAAGTCCTGTCACCGAGCCTGACCTCCGCCGTGTCCGCGCGGCCGGTGGAGTGCTCCCTGGTGACCCCGTGTCAGGCCGCTCCCTCTGTCAATACCGGCGTGGCACCGCCCGTCACGTCCTGCTTCCGAGACCCAGCGATCCCCGAGGCTGTGTCTGCCGTCCTGTCGCCCACCTGGACGTGCACGGACTAGCTTGTAGACAGCCCTTGAAAGCATGTTCTCCATGTTACTGCCGAGACACCTTATTATTCATCGAACGTCCGTCTGCTCTAACGACGCTACGTCCGTTGACTTCTGTTCCCGTCCTCGGAACCGGGCCAAGGTAGAGGCGTGTGCAGGTGCGTGGGTCAAAGACGTCACTGCCTCCTCGGCCTGACGGAGGACCCCAGACGGCAGTCTCCGAACCTCAGGGATGTGCCCCAAAACCTGTTCTGCTCTTGGCCAGGGTCTCCCAAATGGGAGGTTTGGGGAACATTTCCTGAGCATCCCCCATAGTACTGATAAAGCAAACGCTTCTCAGAAGGGGGTTGGGGGAGAGAGTGAGAACAAGTCCAAGGTCACGTGACCTTCACCCAGCCTTTCAGCCTGCTACTCCCCGCCTCCGGCTGTCCAGCTCCCCTGGCCTCCTCCCTGACCTCTGAGCCCCGCGAGCTCACTCCTGACGCAGGCACTCGGGGCTAGCGGCGGCCCTGCCTCCCACACCCCCCCTCTGTCTCTCAGCCACTGTCGTCTTCCGTGCAGTCACGTCCTCCCTCACGGGAGTTGTGGAAGGGATGCAGCCTCCTCCGGCCTGGCCGGCCCCTGGTCTCCCACGCCCGGTCCTCTGGACTGGCCCGTCCAGCGGAGCTTTCCCTGAGGCTGGGAAGGTCCCACGTCTGCACTGCAGCCAACACCAGGCACCCTTGATAGGTGGCCAGCGAGAATGGGGAGGTGAATTTTTCATTCTCTTTAATTTCAATTCCCTTTAACAGCTACATACATGAGCTCAGTTAGAAGCTCCTTGAGGCCCTGGCTGAGCCACTCGGTTGGCTAGAGCACTGTCCCGACACACCAAGGCTGTGGGTTCGATCCCCAGTCAGGACACATACAAGGATCAACCAACGAATACACGAATGAGCGGAACAACAAATCGATGCTTCCCTCTCTCTCAAAAAAGTCAATGAAAAAACATTTTTTAAAAGATCACTTAGGAAATGCACCTCATTCTATCTAGTATATTGCCTGGCAAACAGCAGGGGCTCAGGAAGGAAGGAATGAACGAACGAACGAACGAACGAACGAATGAATGAACGAACAAACGAACGAACGAATGAACCACTGATCTGGTGCTGCTGCCTCTGCTCTCCTTCCCACCCCCACGGCCGCCCCCTTGCTCTCTGCCTCGTTCCCTGCCCCCCTCCTCCCCCTCACTGCCCCACACACAGTGGCCTGTCACATGTTTCTCCCACCCTTCCTCCCTCAAAGCTCTGAAAATGCTCTGCTGTGGGTTGAACTGCGTCTCCCCCAAAGTCATAGGTGGGTGTCCTAACCCCAGCCCCTCAGAACGTGACTGTATGTGGGCACAGGGTCACTACGTGTATGAATTAAGCTGAGATAAGGTCGTACGGGAGGAAGGAGGCCCCAATCCAATTTGGCAGGCGTCCTTATCAAAGGGGGAAATTTGGACATGGACAGACGCACAGGGAGAATTCCACGTGCAGGTGAAGTCAGAGGTCAGTCAGGGTGAGGCTTCCACGAGCCCAGGGACACCATGGTGGCCGGCAGGTCTCCAGAAGCCAGGAGATGACAGGCTGTTCCTGCCACCCAAGCCTCAGGAGACATCCAAGCAGCAGGCGCCTGGGAGACAGTAACGTCTGTTGTCTGAGCCCCCAGCCTAGCAAACTCACCTGTGCTCCTGCCCACTCTGCCCCTGGAAAGGCACAAACTGGGACAGAGGCAGGGATCCTCCGTGTCCCGCCGGCTGAGGGGTCTGCCGTCTCAGGCTAGTGTGCTCCCCAGGGGGCTCTGATTTCTGAGTCTCCGTCCCAGCTTTCCTCGTGAACACACCTAAGTCTTCCTTTCCCAGCCCCGCCATCACATTACTCTTTAGATCAGTATCGCACTGTTATTTATCACCCTCATCTGAAATATTAGAAAACTCCCATTTCCGTGTGCCAGGGGCTCTCAGAGCACATGCCAAGCCACGGCCCATATTTTCTGGGACACTGCATCCAAGGCCAGCAGGCGACACGACGACGCCATTTATTTTAATTTGCTAACTCATTCGAGGAATGATCGAGCACCGAGTCCACACGAAGTGCTGCGAGACACTGTGTCGCAGCCTTGAGAATCAGCAGTGAGAACGGCACATCGGGGAACCGAACACAGTGTCTCATTCCAGGGCCCGCCCGCCCCCTGCGGGGCCCTGAGTAAAGGGCCATTTGCGAGCACATCGCAGTGACTAGCCGAGGGCCAGCGAGAGGCCAGAGAGCCCGCTATCCATCTCTCTTGCCCAACCCTGGCTCACGCCTGCGGCAGGCCTGTCGTAGCAGCCACACAAGGTCACGGCAGGTGGCCCACCTCAGCCAGCTCTCCTGCAACCCAGATGCCACATGAAGAAAAATGCATCTTTCTGGCTAAAAGGACGCCTCCCTCCCAGGCTCCCGTGCCGATGACTAAGTTCTGGCAGAGCGCGGCTAGGGCTGCCGCACGTGGTGGTGGGGGAATGTTCAGTCTAGCCTTCATCCAAAAGGCAGCCGCTCCAGCCAACCAGAAATTAAAGTAGATGCCGCTGCGCACAGCTGACAGCCTTTATAAGACAAAACAACAGCCCTGGCTGGCGTAGCTCAGTGGATTGAGAGAACCAAAGCATCACAGGTTCAATTCCCAGTCAGGGCACATGCCTGAGTTGCAGGCCACGTCCCCAGTGGGGGCCACATGAGAGGCAAACACACATTGATGTTTCTCTCTCTCTCTCTCTCCCTCCCTTCCTCCCCTCTAAAAATAAATAAATAAATAAAATCTTAGAAAAAAAAAGACAAAACAACAAAAGCCACTGCTTCAGTGCTCTGGAAACTCTCGGTCCATGCACACAACTCTCCAGGTGTCCCCCAGAGCTTCCCGCTGACCCCAGCGTTCCCCACGCACCTGTGTCCTTGACCAGTGGCTCTGGCTACGACTGGCCACGTGGCCATCTCTCTCCTGCCTTTTTGTGAGGCCTGAGCACGCCCGTCCCTCTGGCAAGGGCTACTCCCACCTGGGGGATGTTCGCCTGCCTCTGGGAAGTGGAAAACAAAACCCAAAAGAACTCAACACCAAAAATACAAACAACCCAATTAAAACATGGGCAAAGGACCTGAATAAACACTTCTCTGAAGAGGACATACAGATGGCCAATAGACATATGAAAAGATGCTCAACATCACTAATCATCAGAGCTATACAAATTAAAACCACAATGAGAGCCCTGGCTGGTGCAGCTCAGTGGATTGAGCACGGACTGAGAACCAAAGCATCGCAGGTTCGATTCCCAGTCAGAGCACATGCCTGGGTTGCAGGCCATGGCCCCCAGCAACTGCACATTGATGTTTCTCTCTCTTTCTCCCTCCCTTCCCTCTCTAAAAATAAATAAATAAAATCTTTTTTTTTTTAAAAAGCCCACAATGAGACATCACCTCACACCTGTCAGAAAGGCTATCATCAATAAATGACAAACAGGTGCTGGTGAGGATGTGGAGAAAGAGGAACTCTTGTGCACTGTTGGTGGGAATGCAGACTGGTGCAGCCACTGTGGGAAGCCGTATGGAGACACTGTAAAAAATTAAAAATGGATCTGCCTTTCAACCCAGCTATCCCACTTCTGGGAATACATCCGAAGGAATCCAAAACAGTAATTCTAAAGAACAGAAGCACCCCTCTGTTCATTGCAGCGTTATTCACAATCGCCAAGATAGGGAAGCAGCCCCAGTGCCCATCAGTAGAGGAGTGGATAAAACGACTATGGTGCATTTACACAATGGAACACTAGTCAGCCATAACACAGAAGAAAAATAAAGTAAAGTAACGCTGACCTGTCAGATTGCCGGAAAAGCCCACCGGCCTTGTGCTCGCCCCTTCCTTCGTAATCACACGACGGAATTCTGCCCCCAGAAAGGCGGCAAGAGGTGTCTTCTCAGGAAAAAAGACCACAACGCAAATAAAACCCCATGCACGTGAGGAGCAGGCCTGTCTCTCTCCTTCTCTCTCTGCCCTCAAACTTGAAACCCCCCCCCAAGCTGCCTGCCCCTCTTCTGCCAGAAACAGTCCACGCTTCCTTCCTAGAATCTGTCATATCTCAGTGAGCACCTCAAGGCTTGCTTACGCCACAAAAGCAGAAAATCGATTCGACAAAACCTTGCTTTAAGCTGGGTCCGCCAGGGTTCAGAAGCCAGAGCACACGGGCCCTGCTGAGTGGGGGCAGGGGAGTGGCGAGCTCAGAGCTGCAAGAACCCCTTACTGGGGAGGAGAGAAGGGCCCCAGGTTTGTTGACGGGGGGGACAGGGGGGGGCAGGGGGGGGCAAGCAAAGGTGCCCCCAAATTTAGACATCAGGATTTTGCCAACTTTCTCTCTCTGGTGGCAAATAATAATATATTTTTTCATCACAAGACTCCTCATTACTGCCTCTACAGAAACCTTCTAAAATGCAAATCAGAGCTTTAAACATTATAATACCACCACTGATGCAGCGACATTAAGCACTCCTATATCGTGCAGGAGGGGTTATAATTTCTGTGACCTTTTTGAAAGGGCATTTGGCCATATGTATTGAGAGCCATTAAAAATACAGCCTTTGATCCAACACTTTTGCTTGTGAGAACTTTTTCCCTGAAGAAACAGATACGTGGAAAGATTTATCATGAGAACAATCTCTGAATCACTCATTCATTTATTCACCAAATACGGAATGCCTCTTAGATGGCGAGCACGACTGTTGTTACTTAGAATAACAAAGT